ATGGGATGGGATGGGATGGGATGGGATGGGATGGGATGGGATGGGATGGGATGAGAGATGAGATTGAGATGAGATGATGAGATGAGATTGAGATGAGATGAGATGAGATGAGATGAGATGATGAGATGAGATGAGATGAGATGATGAGATGAGATGAGATGAGATGAGATGAGATGAGATGAGATGAGATGAGATGAGATGAGATGAGATGAGATGATGAGTAAAATTGTGGAAAATTACTTCCTCTTCTTTCAGTGCAGGCATCTTCCCTAACTCATATATCTAGACAGAAAGCTGAAGCAGATTAATGTCCCTCAAATATCTACCATACCACCTCACTTTAGGCTTACATTTTCTTAGGGATCTAAATGATGATGGTGTTCACCATGATTAGACTTGTAGATTAGTGAAACATCACATTCAATCCTTTACTTTGATTTCCTGGCAGGAGCAAAGCCAGTGGGTTTCTCACATCAATAGCACGGTGATGCTGCTGCTGCTTACAAGTCAGGTGGGCAAGTTTCATGCTGGGGTCATTGCATTGTTATAAAAATACACAGCAAAAAGAAACATTTTAGTAAAGCATGCAGGAGGTGTGTAAAACAGACAGATATGTGAGAACTGGGGAGCATTTATAAAAACTAGTCCTGTTGCCTATTCTGTAGTGCAGTGAGCATACAAACAATTTCTGAGATCTCTGGAATGGTATTTATTGTCTTTTGCTGAATGTAGAAAGTTTAATGATACTAACAGTTAAACCAGCTGTTACTCTTCATTTCTCTGATAACTTTTTTAGCAATAGGGTCAAACTCCCACTGTTTTGATCCATGGAAGAAGTAGAACAATCCTGGAAATGAAAAAGTGAAGAATTATGTTATGGATACAAGAAATATCTTCATTCTGACAAATCCCCTTTGTGCATAAAGCAGAGCATCTCTTAATTTCTGTCTTTTGCAGGATACAGCAATAATGATCATCATAATTTCAGAACTTAAGATCTTTAGAACTAAACTCATTTTACTTAGAAGCTCATTTAATTTACCTTTCTGTTGAAAAACAGCATCAACCCTCTGATTAATTCCTGGAAATTCATCGACTGTTGGTCTAGGATATACCTTCTCCATGGACTGGCTGTTTTCATCAAACCTAAATCATATAAAGGGAGACATGCAATTTTCCAGAGTTTAGACTTCAATTCTGCATAGAATTAAGCAGCTTTTAAAAGGAGCCCATCATCTGCAATTTAGTTGGTTTCAATGGGGTTGCAAGAGAAAGTCGTATTATTTACTTGCACACATGGCTGAGGGTGCTGACCATTGCGCTTTCCATGATGTTTTTTCTTGTTTGCTGATAAAGGTAGACACCTCCAAAGAAGCATCCTAAGTGAGAAAAACTGAAGGAAGACTCACACTTTTGATTCCAGGGATGGGAACAGTGTGACAGACAGTGCATGGACACTGGGCAGATTAATTCCTGCTATAGCACATATTTATAGCATGAATTTTGACTCCTCTCAGACTTTTATAATATATTGTACATAGTCCTCTACTAGCTGACAGATTTAGATGGAGGCAAGGAAGCTGGCTTATTTCTAATACATCAAGTTCTTCCTAACTAAGCCATGACAATTTTTATGAGATAGGGCTAAATTAAGGGAGTTGAAAGAAGAACATAAAATGTTCATCCAGATTTGAGGAACCCTCTCAGGGAAAACAAAAACAAAAACAAAAACAAAACAAAAACCAACCAAAACAAACCAAGGAAACAAAGCCTATATTTCACTTCTCCTTGGATACAAGAAATATTTTTCACAGGCATGTGAGGCTGAGAGAATGAGTTACTAGGTAAGACATGCCTGTTGTGGTTTACTTGCATGCTATTGTCTTGTGACCAAGGCAGTAAAATAAGAATGCAAAATATTGTAAATACTCTACCCAAATTAATCAAAACCAAAAAACAGGAAACCACAGGAATCTCAAAATCCAGATGACACTGTATGTATCACTGAGGAACCCCACAGTTAGTCACAATAAAGTCTGTGTGAACCATGTTTTCCCTGGTTGCCTGAGGAAGACCTTTGCAGCCACTGTCCTTGCACACAGAAGGAATCTTTCAGCTTCCCAAAGCTGACTTCTTTCTTCCCCTGACTGTTCTTTGAGTATCAAGACTTTGGGTATCATTCCAGTTTGGGAATAGGATTTAGAGGGAACCTACAGTTACCTAAAAGGTCTACTTTCTATTTTATCACGTTTATTTTTAATTTTTATTCAGATTTTATTGGAGTTATTAAGAGGAAAACATTTGTCAAGTCTTCTTACCTCCAGTACTTGTCACCTATGAAAAAGTATGTTTTCCCTGTATTTCTATTACAAGCAGCTGCGTCAACTTTCTTGACACCTTTAGGGAAGCCCAGTGTGTTGATATTCTTTGGATAACCGAACAACACCTGATATCCACTGATAACCCAGAATTTGTTGCCTGATAAGACAAATTAAAATATTCAGTTTTGCCAGTCATTTTCAGACAGTAAATTATAAAATGTACTCCTTTATTGTAGGTTGTAGGAAAACTAGATGAAATATTCTGAGGTTTTATTTTACTTGTTTGAAAAATGTATTTTATGTGCACATGCCTTCTGCTCACATAAGTAAATTAATAAAAAAAAAAGAGAAAATCTCATACTTCACCTTTGAAAAGTAGGATCTGATCTTTTGTGTTCTCATATGCAGCTTCAATGCCAGGAGGCAGATTTGGCCAGAAGGCAGAAATTAATTCACGTTCAGCTTGTGAGTTATCGGGATATACCCTCCATAAGTGCCTGATTTAAATATGAAACAGATTTGTAGTACATAAAAAACCACAGAAACTTCTGTATGTGCAAAAGAATGTGAGCAACATTGTGACTTACAAGCTCTTTCTTGTCAGTGGAGCTACCTGTCCTGATGTGTCAGAAAGGAAATAACTCCCTGCACTGAGAAGTGTTTGGTTTTTTCATTCTATCTTCATTCTGGCATTTCATTGATACTGATTGATAAACAATCACTTATAAGCAGCTGAATATTTCAAAATGGTCCTGTACTGTATAGTAAGAGGGTTATAGAAGGCCAGGTAAGACTTACTGTAACCTTTTGAGCAGATAAATTCCCCAGATGAATTTGGACTTGCAGAGAGGAATGGAGGAGAGATTGGCTCAAGTGTATTGTCAAACATGCTTATTTCTTAGTTTGCTAGTTACTCAGATTAGTAAAATTAATTGAACACTTAATTAAATGTGCAAGGCCAGGTTGGATGGGGATCTGAGCGACCTGGACTACTGGGAAGTGTCCCTGCTTGGAACTAGATGATCTTAAAGGTACCTTCCAAACTAAACCTTTATGTGATTGTCTGGAAAATTTTGCATCATTAAGTCAAGTCACTACTCAGTATAACCATTTATACATTTGGGAATAAGGTCTCATTGGGATTGAGGTGTTTTCTGGAAAAAAATGAAGCATGTTTTTTCAGGGGATCCTGTAAAAGTATTAATACAATTAATATCTGCTAAAACTTTTATTTCCATGAATTGAAATCCATTGGTCTCATTGTAAATGCTGTAAACATGTGAACCACAAAAGTATTCAGTCTTTGTATAAATCAAGAAAAATTAAACTCCATGCAGACAAATATGATATCAATATTTACCTGCCCTTTAGAAAAATGACTTCTTGTCGGAGTGTAGTTATAGCATCGAAAGATATCTGGGAGCCACAGATTTTAGGTGAGGTAGGGGTGGCTGGCCTTTTATCTGGGGCATTTGGTGGGGGTCCTGAGGGAGATATTTTGGAAAGAATACACCAAATTGTAGAAATATTCAGGTTTCCACACCTTGCTCTTTTTTAAATATAATGCTAATATGATTAAATTTATGATGAAACTTTATGAAATATATTATTTCTTCCCTGCTTGCCTTCTTTTTCTAAAGCCATGGATTTTACTCACCATAAATAGACTGAATGCCACTTATATCATCTGGAGAGAGGGGAAATTCACTGGGGCTGACATAGGCATAATTGGGGAACATGAGAGCCCTCTGATCATTAGAATGGGAGAGACCCAGGGCATGGCCAAACTCATGAGCAGCAACAAGGAACAAGTTGAACCCTTATGAAAAGGATAGAGAGAAGAGATCAGTCAAATTTTAGTCAGTACATGGCTGATACAATCACAGCATCAGGCTATTGTGCAGTAGCAGTTTTCATACAATATATTGGTGTTCACTGGGGAATGCATCTAGGTGAACATATTTTTCTGTACGACAAGACTGTGGTCTTCCCCCACTAGAAGGTAGAGACTTTTGACCCTTTTGTTTTCTGTTAGCTACTGAAATTGTGTGTGTGTCATGAGCAGATGTATGGGGATGAGTGTGGGTGCAGCTCTTTGGAATGTCCTGGCAGGGTTTCCTGGCTGAAGTAGGACAGATTAGATAGTGAGTCAGATCAAACTAACAGCTCTCCAGGGCAAGGCAGAAGGACACACTCTGTGCTCACCACAGGTATCAAAGTGTCACTCTGTGTGTCACTCTCCCTCCTACAAACCTGAGAAATAAAGGTGAGATCATGAATAGATAAGGAAAAATAAAATGTTAGCAGAATGCTTTACCTTTCTACCATTGGGACTCTAAAGCATATGGTTTCTTTAGAGATTTATCAAACAAAATAAATTTTAAAATATTATGCTTCTGCATGCTTATTCCTAATGAAATATGTTAACACAATAAAGAAATAAAAATGGAATTTCTTTTCCTTCAACACACGTCCCTCCAAGTAATACGCCTTTCTGAAGATGATCATCTGCCCTGCAGACCAAGATCCAGAAATATCAACAGATTTAATAAAGATCACAAGTCTGTGGCAGAGGAGAGGACTGGTCATTGATTGCCCAAGAAAGGCTGGCTGAAGCCAAGACATTCATTTCTCAAAAACCCAAACAAAATAAAGCCTCATTTTTTCCACACATATTTCCAGTCAGTCCTCCCCTCTCACGAGTCTTCTGAGTGCTCCAAGTTCTGCAATGTCTGGCTGCTGGAGCTGTGCTGCTGAGGAACAGCAGAAAAACTGTGGTTGACCTATTCAGTCCCAGTATGGGGAAAACATTACATTTAATAATGTGATATGTCCAGCACTCATCCCTCTCTTTTTTTTCCCACCACAATAAACCCACAGTCTCCTCCCTGTGCAGCTGTTTTGCAGCACTTTTCTGTTCATTAGCCTCCTGCTCTTCCTGACCTCAGTCCTCTTGTTGCAGATTTCCACCACAAAAAGTGGACGAGAAAAGGGTCTAAAGTAGCAGAGGGTATTGTGCCTGTGTGCTGACAGACCTGTCAGAGGCAGTACATGCTGTGCAGCCAGCCTGGAGGCTGAGCAGAGCAGACCTTCCCCGACAGATGGAGGCTGGGCACTCAGTGCTCCCCTCTCTGCTGCCTATTGTTGAACCTTCCCTGGAATTTTTAGTGAAGACTCTTCATTATCCATGGTGGCTGTATTGCTTTTTAGGTGGTGGGGATGTCCTTTGAAGGCTGCTACAAAGCACAGGACATGGCAGTGCCAGGCCTGGTGTGCACCAGGAGGGGAAAAGAGAAAGCTTTTATCAAGGGTTGGGAAACTCTGGGCCACTACCAGCCCCCAGGTAAGAGTGGCTGTGTCTGTGGCATTCCTACCTGAGAAGGATTGTCCTCTTGGTATTTTTATTGGCCTAATTAAGGACTAAAGTAGATCAAGGTGAGTTTATGTCTATATTGTAAGTATCCCTGTTGGAGGACAGCCTTAGATCTCCTCAAACTGCTCTTGTAGTTGATGCAGTGTTTCATCTCAGTCTCTTCCTTCATTTAAATTAAACCAGAATGAAATTTATTCATCTGTATAACACCTTAGAAACCTTTTTTTAACTTACCAGCTGAGCCTGTGGTCCAGTCTTCATCCTCGTCAAAGTGCACATCACCGCCTAAACCAGTGCCAGGTGGAAAGGCATGAGCAAGAACGCCAAGGGGGCCATCAAAATAGCGAGGGCAATGTCCATGAACTAAATAATATGAAGTTGAAACAACTCTAAGCTTTTGTTATGACTATTGAAAAATCTATTAATTAATTTTACCACTGTGCGCAGTATTCATTTTACCTTTGGTCCCAAAAGCAATCATTATATCTGATATTCCCTTATGAATTCGAGTGAAAATCAGTGGGGTGACAGCACTCCACACTTTAAATGCCTTCTCAACTGCTTTATCCACATCCTCCTTGCTCATATCTGGTGTGTAGTTTACAATTCTGTAGTTATGAGAATTCAAACATAATATTTAGTATTTGCAGAAAAGAGAAAATCCCTAATATGGTTAAGAAAATGAACAGAAAATATAAGAAACAATGTAATCTGTAAACAAATAGTTCTCAAGGTTCATCTTGGGCTGAGTGAGTTTTATATGTGAAAACTGAGTATGTCTGAATATGTGATAACTGTCCAATATGTCTTTTTCATAAGAATAGTTAGCATGTATAGCTGACAGATGTGGAGAGAGAAACATTTTTGTATTCTCAACAGGAAACAATTGCTATAGAAGTTATATTTAAATATAACAAATTTGGATATCCACAAACCTTAAAGTTAAACTCAAAAATACTACCTGTATGTCAGTTTGGTTTTTTTCCATCCGGGCAGGGTGAAGCCATAGAGACCCACATCTGGAACTCCACACCTGGGTTTCTTCATCATTTCCAATGTCTCATTATCCAGTTTTTCAGTCACTTTCAAACCAAAAAATCGTTGCATTTTCTGAAGTTTTTCAGCTGCGGATTCAGCATTTATTTTCCATCCAAGTTCATCTGGAACTGGCTCAACAGCATAAAATTTATTCAAATAGTTCTGGTGAAAAAAGAAAAGTGACACATTTCACATTTTTATCTGTTTCTTGAACAAATAAATACCTTAGGACTGATATTTGTGTAGGTTGCTGGCAAAACCGTCTTCCTGTGATTTTGGAGCACAACAGATGTTTCCCTGAGAATCATAGCTAAACAGAAACAGACAACATTGTCCTGACTTATTAACCTGACATTGTCAGTCTGTACAGATTTAACCTACTTTAGTAAAGTTTGGGCAACAGAGTTCTATGCAATAGTATTGTCTCAGAAAGGCAGCAATTTGCTGTGCTACTGGAACACACAGAATAGGTCTAAAAACAGAGGGTTCAATAGATCCCAGATATGGACAATGCAGTTACCTGTACAAGCTTTGCATCTTCTTCATTGTATTTCTCTGGGTGGATGGGAAGAGCTCCAGAAACAGCTGTACATGTTACAAGCCAAAGTGAAAGAGCCTTCATTTTAACTCTCATCCCTGTCTTGGCAGGAGAGCTGTCTGCTTTCTGCTCCATGTGCCTCCTTTCTCACATCTCAGTCCGTATGGTTATGGGGTGCTTTGGAGAGTCAGCTGTAGACTGACTCAGGGCTCATCATGCTCTGATTCTCTCCACACAAGTTATAACACTGTGCAGGCTAACACAATAAAACTTAATTGAACCCATCCGACTTCACAGTCATCTGAAGTCAGTTGGGATTTGAATCTGTCTAAGCAGCTTGGCTACCCTTTCAAACTGGCACTCAGTTTCAGTTATTTTACACTGACTTTTACAAACCTGAGCAATTTAATGCCAGATTAGGTGATGGACAAATGCAAAACCTTGCAAGTTGTCCCAACACACCTGTGTGAAGTGGGACCACCAAATATAGAGGTACTCTACATTCTCCACCTAGAAAATGGGAATTGTGCATGAGGTATGAATCCCATAAAAAATAAAACAAAATAGACTTCAGGAGAAATGACTGTAAGCAGATTGGGTTTTTTTCAAATTGATTTATGATGAACATGCTAATTCCTTACCTCTTTCTGGCAATTTTTTAAAGCAGTGCGTTTCTTTAAAATTATTCTGGTGGAATCCAAGATATGCATAAATAAGATTGATTTTACCTTATAAATAAATATAAATTAATTTAGGGTTATAAATTGAGCCTAAAGAATGTGAATAATATTACATATGTCTGCATCTGTCTTCATCTGTCTGTCTGTCTATCTATCTATCTATCTATCTATCTATCTATCTATCTATCTATCTATCTATCTCCTCTATCTATCTATCTGCTACTTCATCACTAAAGGTTTTTTTCAGTTTAACCACATTAGCCACAGGGCATATGATTATTTCCTGTCTTAAGTAATTCAGAATAAGAGAAGTTTCAAGAGTCACACAGGCTGTGACAAATTATGGGATTTCACCCTGTTTCAGCCAAGCACCTTCCTCTTCCACTGGCAGCAAATGGAGATGAAGGTGTTTGGCACCTCAGAGGAGCTCTCACATCACGTACTCAAATTTTATAAAACTGTTGAAAAAAATGCCTTCACATTGGACTGTGGCTTTTTCAGGAAATCTGTGCTTCTGCTTTCTGGCTTTTTTGCTGTCCCTTCCAGCCAATTTTTCTCCAGCTGGAGGCATTAATGGTGAATATTTTCATCCTGATGTCTTCGTTGTTAAACTTGTTGTTAAAGGCATTTCTCAGCTACTTAAAAAAAACCCCAACAAGCCCCTCTCTTGATTATTATCATTACATTGTATGGGTCCCATTCAGTTCTACATGTATGTGACCATACTGATCAGATTTTTGTTGATACAATGAACATTTATACAGCTACCTAACAGACTCCCATGTTGGGAACAATTAGGAATGTTGAGTCCCTGCTGTTATAGTGTTACGGTCATGACCATGCTGCAGCACTATTTCTGGTTCCTGGGATGCTCTGTGTAACATCTTCAGTACTACTGATGTGATAGGCAGTCAACTTTCTAGGTCAAAACAGGGGTCACATTGCTGCAGTCCTCTTCACATTGCTGAGGAGAAAAGAAGTCATGGGGTGGTTCAACATCCACCAGCTCTAATAAATGTCAAAGATAAGCATTCAGAAACCATAAGCAGAAGCTGCTTGTACAGCTTCTTCTTTTCCCAGACCCCAAGGCCAGCTATAGACATACTTGTGAAACATCGCTTGTGAACCTTTTCCGGTCTCTCTACCTTGGGCAGTGGGAACTGGCTGCTGTGTTATGTAGATGGACATGTTGCGAAACCCTGGTGGTGTTTTCTGTGATGTAGATCTCCATCATTTGTCACTCAAATGTCTTCTGAACAAACAATAATATTAGCTGAAATTAAAAATGTAGTTTAAATTAGAGGTTTCAACTTCTCTACATTGAATGAAGACATTGTAGCGGTCAGATGACATGATTCTAAGTTGGTTGAATCACTCTCCAGAGAAAAGTATTTCTCTGTTTTCTGTAGAAGAAAGCTTAATTAATAAATACATAGAGTTAGATGCAGCTGATCTTAACCTAGCTGCTCTTATTGTCTCTGTCCTTCAATGCAACATAGCAGACAGCTGTGGGGATCTGATAGCCACAGTGGAAAGCAAGGAAAACACTTCTCCCAGTTAATATCAAATCTCCCCATAGTTCTTGATTTTTCTATCAAATTAAACTAATATCAGCTGAAACATGTTTTTCAAAAAGGTATTCTAGTGCCATGGGAAAATATGCTTTGTAAAAAAGCCCTGAACAGTGTCTTTTGTGACATATGCATGAACACAATCAGACTGTAGCACCACGGTCATTCCCTCTAGCTTTGAAAACTTTGAGACAAACCAATATATCAATTTAAAAACATAAGACAGATCTCTAAAAAGAAAGTAATGCTGGTGGCTGTGATCCATAACCTAGAGGGGACCTGTGGCTTCTAGACCTGTAGTTGGAAGCCAGTTGGAAACTTTTAGGCACCTTAATGGCACTAGAGAACTGCTCAGGCAGAAGAGTTGCACCACTACTCTTCAGGCTCAGTCCTTCCACAGAACCAATAAAATTAAATTTTTACTCAGCCTGAGTGAAAAACAGGGGGCAAAGGCAAATGGTCCATGTATGTCTTTGACTCCTCATGGACTTCTAGCAGACTGCAGTGTGTGAGGGCAGGACTCAACCATGGTCCCTAGGGACAGTGTGACCTCTGTGGGCCTTTAGGAAGTGATGAGCTCCCAGGAGTCCTGTTTCATACATGCATGGGTTACTAGGAGACCTTACAGAGCCACTAATGCACTAAACACGCTTAGGAAATTGAATTCCTGGCTGGGCAAATCTGCCTTCCTGATGCCATTAGGACTAGGCTACAAGGGCTACAATTACACACCACACCTGTAGCAAGGCCCTGGTGAGAGGTACAGTATTTTAACATAGTACAGTAATTAGCAAAGAGAGGAAAACTTATTAAAAGGGAAAAAGAAAACGACAGGCAATTTTATGGACAAAGCACCCTAATTCCTAATTCCTGAAAGCTGCTTTGTGCCTGAATGAAGACGAGAACAGCTGGCACCAGATGTGCCCTCCTCTTCATGGCGTGGCTGGGATGGAGCAACCACTGCGCTCCCACAGGCAGAGGAAATGTGCTCTCACATAAGCACGGGACAGATTTCTCACAAAGGAATCACTTCATGTTGAGCTCTTGTCTTCCTGCTCATGGGAAATTCACAAAGTAAATTTCAAAACAGTGTCTGGCAACTAAAATTTGGACAGGATGCAAAAAGGCAAAGGCTAAAAATAGTCTGTGTATTAGTGTATTAGAAACTTCATCCTATTTTTAACTACATCATCCATGGTCTGTAAATCACCCTTTATCTCTCTTTCCTCTAAAATACAACCACCTCCTTACCCCTCATCTCTCATGTAACATTTTCACTGCCCCATGAATGCTTACCAATATTTGAGGGACTAGCATTCTGCACTAAATCTGAGAAGCTCTTTTGACATCACCTTGAGATCCTATGCTTTTACTTCATATGTGCAGGGAACATATGCCCCCAGTTTTTATTTTTTAATATAAATTGTTCTAGTAAGAAATATTATCTTTACTTGTAAATCTTGTGTTATATTTGTAGACCATTTCTGCTGAAAAAGCAGAACACAACAAAATCAATTTAGATTTATATTCCTCAAAAACAATTTTTGGTTTAATTGTCATTCATATTAAAGAACTAGTACCTATAACACCTTGTGAAAACAGGATTCAATAAATGAACTTCTTAATTAAAGCTTTTGATTTGCTGCAATTTATTTTGTATTATTTTGTAATATTTTCGTAGGTTTTATGAAGTATATGATGAAATTAATTTTCAATTATACAATTTCTTATCTTTCAATAGTATTAAGTCTGATCTATACTGAATTTAATAAAAATAAGAACTACCAAGTCTGTTCTGTATTTATGAATGATAAAATTTAATAGCCTTCTAATACAGACAGATAAGAAATGAAAAAAATGAAACAGATATGTTTTTATGAGACTATACCTTATTTCCTCAAAATACAATAACTTTTATTCCCCTAAGCTTAAACCTTCATCTGAAGTCTGTTGAATTATACAGATATAAAATATAATAATTTTTGTTCTGTTCATATGGCTTCTAATGTTATCAGCTGAGCTACAAAGACTAAAGAGAAAGTGAATAACTCTTCAAATGCCATTTTAATTGAGGATTTTTGCAGAAAATGTGGTTAAGCTGGAAATCAAGCTGTCCTTTTTATGAATCTTTGAATCAGAGGTTTTATTGGCCAAGAATTTTAATCTTTTAAACAAACTCCTTGATTCTCTAACCCACTGGAATTAGGTGGGATTTAGTAACTACTAGAGTAGTAAGAGAGTAGAAAGAGCCTTGATTAAAGAAGTCTAATTGTTTGTTATATGATGTGGCTACCTTTGAGAGCAAGTGACTTGTTTGTTATCTCAGGGGTCCTTTCTAATCTATATTTCTGCATTTCTGGACTTAGAACCAGTTCCTAAACCCAAAAACATGAGAATATTCCTTCTCCCCTGCCCCCCACCCATCTGCCTACAGTTGTAAATATGTACACCTTGGAGAGCAGTCTAAGAGGGGAAGCGGGGAAAAAGTGGAAGTAGATCTGTACACCGATGATAATGAGCCCCAACTAATTAATATCAGATTTTCACCAGGGTTTTTGAAGAGTGGGGGGTTCAGAGACAAGTGTATCCTCCTTTCTCTGTCATTGTGAAAAAACCTGACATTTCCTGCCAGAATACATTTCTTAGTGTTTGAAAGCTAGACCTGGCTCTTGAGCATCAGAGCAGAAAAGACATCAAGAACAAAATTATATAAGAAACATAATTTATTAGGAAACCTGACCATTACAGGAGAAGTTGTGATAAATTATATAAATTTATTTGGCTTAAAATAAATAATTATTAATACTATACTGCTATAGAATTTGAACAGAAA